CTCACATAACAAAGCATGGAAAAACTCCCCATTACTGTCCTCCGAAGTGCCTCCGAAAGTCCCGACCACCTCTGACTGTTTGTCTCCCAGACGTGCGTTGGCATCTCCAAGAATGATGTCAACGCCAAAGCGACTGACGAGCTTCTTAGCATGGTCCCACCACCGCTTGCGGGCGTCTATCTTCGCCTCTGGGCAGGGTGCATGACAGACCATTACGACTGTGCTCCAATGCGGGGCGCTGATCTTGACGACCAAGCTACGCGGTTCCGCCTCCACAACGAGACAATGAGCAGCTTTGAGATAGACGTCCCTTCCCCAAACTTTGGCATACGGAACCGCGGCATTAACCCAAAGCTCACAACCTAGATTTTTACCACCCTCGGGGCCCGTCGAAAAACAGAAAAAACCATCAGCAGACCTACTGCCTCTGGGGGTCCGCGCTTCCTGTATGCCGACCAACAGCACTGCAGCCTCTGCGAACTGCTGCCTAAGCCACTGCCCTCGAAACACTGTGCGCTCGCCTCGAACGAGGTCCTGAGCTGATTCAGCGTTGTAGCTGGCAAGCGCAAAATCACGAAGCACGGCCTTCTTCACGCTCTCGCTGCAATCAAACTGTCCACAAGTCTCAGGGATGGCTTGTACGAAAGTGCCAGCACCTGCAACGTCACAACACTGCGGATGGTCTGGCATACGAAATTGGTATTGCCCGTGAAGGGGATACTGTTGTCGCTCAGCTGTCCCTAGCTCTGCGATCCAGTTCCAGGCCAAAGACGGGGTAAAATACATCTCGTGCACGAGTGCAGGGTCCACACAATCATACTGGAGGTAACGTGTGGACTTCGCAATGTCGTCTGCCAACTCGTTCCAGCAATTCTTATTGTGCACATATATGTGCAACAGCGCTATGTGGACCCTGGCACGTGCAAGCTCATATAGATGCCTGGCAAGGGCAGCAAGCTGAGGCTCGGCGTGTCCAACACGAATACCTAGCGTAATATATATGGCAACTTGAGAGTCAGACATGATGGTAACAGGAAACCGAGACCCCAGGTCCCCTCCTACCTCAGCCTGCGCAACAGTCCAGACCAAGGCCCAGACTATTCCTGCGAGCTCAGCTGTGACGCTGCTGACTTCCCTTTCGAGATTGAATCCAAGCGTGGCAGCAACCTCTCCAGCCAAAAATCCCCAAAAAACTGACATCGCCTTCCTCATCCATACAAGTGGCAATCATGGCCCAACCACTCGACCCTTCATCCTTGGTGAGGGATCCGTCGGTATAGAGCGCGACAGGGCCGAGGGGGCGGTCACACCGCTCTGCGACACCCAGCGCAAACTCGGACACCAACTTGAGTTCGACATTGCCTATGTCGGTGAGCAACCTGACAGGGGCCTGAGCAACGATACGGCGAACGATCCGATCGGCACCTGCAAAGTCACAACTTACATAGCCATGAGCAGGACTGATGAGCGTATCCAAACATATGACCATTGGTGTCGGGCTCCTACCTGGGCCATCAACGCGTGTGACGCTGCAGTCACCAACAGACTCATCCGCAACAAACGTTAAAACGTCCACGCCACCCCAGGACACGGACCGCTGGGCCAAAACGCGATTGGTGCCTGAGGTTGCGCTGGGTACAATGGTATTGTTGGCTGGCGTGCTCGCAAGTGGCGTATACCCCTCGCCTGTAAGCTCAAAACCGCCGATCCCAACATTTGAACAGCTGTTGCTTAAATGCATGTCGCCCCCGCCAGGCCGCTGACAAATGTCCCAGTCAGCTAGCTCACAAGAGCTCAAACTTGCACTGTCAGAGTTATCCTCCCCCCCGACAAGCCTCCACCCGCCCAGCCACCCATCCTGACTCTCACACGGCACGCACGGATCGCATAGCTGCCACTCTGCGTCCTCCGCGCTGGCGGATGCTGCTGCTGACACACGCTCTCGCTGGGATGCGCTCACCTGTAGTGGGCACGTGTCAGACGCCTCGTCATTTGAATCAAGATGCACCCAATCCTCAAGGACGGCATCATTGCTCCACATGTGGGCCATGGTGGCCCAAGGCTGGGACTGACCTGAAGGCGAACGTTTAAAAGTTCGACGCGCATGGTCATCTGTTGCATACTCGGGGATATTGGCTGCACAGATGGTCCCATCCCACCTGACCCGCCGCACCCTATCAGGAGAACAAATGCGCATAGGCGAAAAAAGTGCATGGTTACAGCTTGAGGCCGTTGAACTGGTCGTCCAGGTAGGCGCCGCAACATCCCTGCAGGCACCGCCAACACCAGCAACGACATCCGCGATCATGCACCGCCTGCAGGCGCCGCTGGCTGGGCGTTGGCCCTGGCTGCTGCCGTACGAGCCTCTGGCACGGATGCGATCAGATTCCTGGGCTCCTTCTTCGGCGGTGACGACAATTCCAAATCCCTTTTCTCCTTGTCGAGCCTGCGGATCTCCTTCTGCACAGTAGAGTCCGTCTGCGACGTGTAGGTTACGCTGTGCTGCGGCGGTACCACGTAAGGATCGTCGATCTGCGAGCTGTTCACCATCGGCTGTGTCGGCGATATGGGCGTCGGCCAGACGGGCGGCTCCACCTGCTCGGGCTCCGCCTGCTGCGTCGCGGCGATCGGGGTGGTGTCGACCTCCCTGGCATCCTCCGCGGGCGACGGCGGCTTGACGGGCGCGGCTGGCGATCTCAAGCCCCCTGTGGTGCCCACGATTGGCGTCCTGGGCGCTGGCGCCTGCGGTGTCGGCGGCGTCGGCTGACCGGGCGGCGGCGAGCTGGGGCTTGCCAATCGCCCCTGCGGCTGCAGCGGCGACGCGTCCACCACCATCGGCTCTGGCGCAACTGGGGGCTGCGACGACACGGGCATGACTGGCGGCTGCATGGGCGAGGACGCCATCGACGGCCGCGGCGTCGCCGTGCCGTACATCGCCTCGTGTGCTTGCTGTGCCGCCCTCGCTGCCGCCTCCTGCTCCACCTGCCTCGTCGCCTCCGCTGCCGCTGCCTGCGCCGCCTGCCCCGGCGGCGCCTGAGTAAACCCCATCGCCTGCATCATGAACTGCATTTGCTGATCCTGCTGTGTCATCTTTGCCATCATCTGCTGCATAATGACCTCCATCGGGCTGGGAGCGGCGGGCGGCGGTGGCGGCTGGTGCTGCTGGTACATGTTCGGCGGCTGGCCAGGATGCACTGCTGGCTGCGGTCCACCATGCACAGGCGCAGCAAAGCGCCCAGGCGGCGGCTCGACCGTATCCTGTCCACTTTCCTCTTCCTTGCGCTGCTCCTCGAGCTCGGCCACGTAGTCGCGGAGCTTCTCCAGCTCCTCGAGCTGCTCGTCCTCTTGTTCTTGGAGCATCTTTATTCTGGCCCGCGTATTCTTGAGCTTCTCGAGCGCTTGATCCTTCTTCTGCCTCATGGCAGCCAGCTGCTGCCCTGTTGGCTGCGTCAACCCCATCATGCACTTGAGCACAGACAGCTTGGTGTCCAGCTTCCCCGCCTCGACGGTGTCGGCCGCGCGCTTGGCTGCAAGCGCCATGGTCGCATATTCCACCATGCGGCTGCGGGTCTCGTCCTGGTATCGCTTCTGCTGCACGGGATCGCTCGGCGGTGGGTCGATGTAGCATTCGTACTCGATCGCTTCCGCACGTGTCATGGGAATGACCTTCGAAACATATTGTTTGATCTGCTTGTCTGGCTCCACTCGCCCACGTCGACTGGGTCGGCTTGCACTGCGGTCGCGCCTTGCCTGGGGCAGCCTGCTCCTCTCGATGGTGGCGTCGGTCCTCGGCCGAGCTGACTTGTGAGGCTGTCTCTGCGGCTGCTCTCCCTGGCGCAGGCGATTGTCGAAATGGCATCCACACAAGCATCTCTGGTGATTTTTCACGTATCGTCCGCACGGGCATGACCATGTTCCAAACATCTGGGCTGAGTGGTGCTCTTGGACCACCTCTTGTGCTCTGAGCACTGCCAGGAGAACCCTGGCACGCTGTCTCTTCTGCCGCTGCCGTTTGTGCCAAGAAGCCTCCTTGGGAGGCGGAATGCTGACTGGCTGGGTCCGATCGCGCACACCCCAGTCACCAGCAAAGCAGCTGAAACTGGCCAGGGGTGTGGCGCCTAAGCCAAGGGCAAGACACACGCCAAAAAGGATGTCCTGTGCCCACATGGCTTTTTTTCTCCTCCTCCTCCTCCTCCTGTTCCCCTCCTCCTCCTCCTCCTCCTCCTCCTTCTCCTCCTCCTCCTCCTCCTCCTCCTCCGCCTCCGCCCTCCCCCCTCCTGCTCCCTGACGTCCTCCGCCTCCTGCTCCTCAACGTCCTTGTCCTGCTCGTCGTCTCCGTCTGCAGGGTCGGCGGCACCGGCCGTAAGGCCTTCGCAATCTTACACCGCACAGATTGCACCGCGCAGCTTGCACCGCGTAGTTTACCGTACGTTTCTTGCACTACTTCGAGTGCACATCGAGAATGCACGAACCTTCCACATTGGGTCCACGCAAACAAACAACCTGAATTAGCCTCAGCGAGTGCTCCAGGCTCCGCAGACCGCCTGGAGGCGCCCGCAATCACAACGGGGACCTCCCTGTGGGCCGCCCTCCAGGTCTGACGTCTGGGGCCACGCCAGCTTACAAAGAAGGCTTGACATGCCTTCCGAGTCACATCGGCATCAACCCTGGTACCCCAGTGCATATAAACACACATAATACTACTTATGTATATATATATATATCATCTGTGTATATATGTATGTATATATGTAACTGCGAGACGGCTTGCTTCAACCCATCCGAGAATATACTTCATATGTATGTAGCGTACGGATGGCGGAATAACGAAAAGAACCAAACGAAACGATCCATGACAACCTCACACCGGCATGCACACATGCACCAATGTTCGTGCCCGCAACATCGCGCTAATCTCAATATTACGGTCTGTCTGGCATTGAGGACGCCGTGTGGCATCAACACAGGAGCAATCCCTTGGTTAGGAACCACCCCCGAACCCATTCATCAGCCCCACGTATGATAATCTCTAAATATCTCCTCCAGCGGCACATCAAGAACAACAAACGAAACACACATGTACTTTCCGTGCGTCGATGAATGCATACTTCACAGTACCTGTGTATTACACATCGGCACACGCTCTACGAAAGCATAAACACCAACATGCAATTGCTGAGTCCAGCGCGGCCGAAACCAAATAGAAGGTACAATACCTTACGTACTTGATTATCAAACTTCACTCGGTACTGTTTCGTTCGCCAAACTGGCCTTTCGCCCAAAGCGGTAATGGAACTCGTGCTCTCAAGGTGCTGCGATCTGCACACGATTATTGACTGCTTCACAAAAATCCAGCCGCTGGGACTACGTGCCAAGAGATCACCCCAACATATATACGTGCACCTGCAAATGCGCAATGTTCGTCTTTACTGAATGAGCTGGCTCTGGATGCTTGACATGTTCGAACTGGAGCCACGCAATTGGAAAACAAACACTTGGCCATCGCTACATCTAATAATCATGTGTGTATCACTCGTGTGCACAAAGATCGCTGAGAACCGCACTATGCAAATCCATTCGAGACACAAAGCAGGCATGCCCAGCTCCTCAACTGGCGTTCGTAATCCACTTGCAACCTCTCTTTGTCGGGGTGTGCCTCGAATTCTGCCTGTGCTTCACGCGCAAAAGCAAAAAAACTATTTCCAATAGCACGTCCACATCCGCAATATGCGAAGGCTACGAAAGTAGAGCGTTCGTCAGTGCTCACATGCGTGCGTGACCAGACACCAACATACGATGCGCCCGATCGAAACTGAGCACAATGGCTGCATCTGTCCGCAGACACATCAGGACTCGCAGAATCCCCAACCATACTCGCAAGATCCACAAACACAGGCATCGGGATGTTTCGATACTTGGCACCCAGACCTCTGGAGTCCTCCCTAAGGGGGTCCGAGTCGTAGATGTCGGAGAATCGCGCCGCATCGCTAATGGAGAACCGCATCGCATCGCCATGAGTCGGCGAGGCGGGCGATGTATCGGCGTCGTCGGCGTGGAGAAATCTGACTCCACATCGAGCTGCATCGCGGATGAATATGCGATGCGGCGCGAGCCTCCGAACTTTCCACTCGGACCCCATGTGGGAGGCCTGGGACCTCTCAACCTCTTCTCCTAGGCCACATGCTGGATTTCTCCGTTGATGGCCGCGGGCCTGGAGCGGGCCTCCCCGAGTGTCTTGACGCCACCCGAACGTCTTGACGCCCGGAGCCTCAAATCGGCGCCGGGCTTCGTGCATCCCCCCTGCCCCAAAGACTCCTCGGGCGTCTTGACGCCACCCAGGCGGTCAAGGCCTCCAAAATGCCGAGGGCCGCTTCCAAGGCGGCCCCAGCAGAGGGGCCAGACGGTCACTAGAGGGACTGCCCCGCGATGCCACGGGAGGGGCCCGACAGGCCCGAAGAACATCTAAAGAGGCGATGGCCCCTGGGCCAGTACACCCTGCGAAATGCTTAAGAGATCATGGGTTAAGAAATTCATAGTCTCAGAATTTGGATAGAAACCCAGAATTTCCATTCAACTCTTAGGATTTACACTGAAACGCTAAGAATAATCGAGACTCTGGCCGAAGGCGTAAGTTTTCTCAAGCATCGCCTTGGGTGTAGGCGCCCAAGACGGCCCTGGAGGCCTCCAAGGAGGCCCTCCACGAGGCTCCTGAGACGGCCCATGCACAACCCTTACCGCAGGTTCTTGCACCTTTTGTCTTGCAGCCGTTCTCGTTCCATGAGGCCGCGAGGGGCCCAGCCATGCCCCCCCAATCGACCATATCGTTAGTTGACTCGGTAGGTGGAACGTTTGCCATACAACTAGACATGTGTATAGAGCTTGTGCCATACATAAAGAGCGTTATAGCATGAAACCACCGTTTACATCGTCAGGGTGGCTGTTCAATTAGACCCGCGGCACTGGCATCGTTTGGTAAATCGTCAAGTGCGTGCGTGCAGATCTGGACAATTACATAGAAGCCCTAGTCATGCGCAATACTACTTATGTTGTTTGGTATCCACTCCGCTAAGCATGACACATGAGGTGTTCCGATACTGGACGTGCCAAACATATCCATCAACACTGTGACGGTAATTGGACTGTTAGTAGCAATTGCGCTAATCATACCGTCATATGTCCGAATCGGTTGCTGCACTATCGGGTTGGCCAGTACGTCTGTACACTGTACATGTGAAATGTGTTAAGTAGATGGTTCGTAACTCCGTTCCTTCTTTCCAACGTCAAATATATCGAACATCGGTTGGTCGATATGTCTTTGGTCCGTTACATGGACGAGCAGAACTTGGTTCAGATATGCCAGGCAATCGAGCGCAAGGCCATCGCATGCCGACACCTGCAACCATCCAACCCAGAATCTAACCATAATATATAACCAACTGACTAATGGTCTCACCGTTCGTTACGTGCTACGGTCTGACCACAACTTGAGATGTTACTGCCTTCAGGAATACGCGGGGGAACGGTTCACATGTGACGTACCCCAGCCCCTAACAAGAATACTGCCAAAAGCCATGCCATTCCAAATGACAATCGAAATTGCGCAACATTGAATGCTTCACCAACACGGGGAAACAACTTGCCGCAAACATGGGGATACCAAATCTTCGACGTACCCGTTCGACCGTAAAAACGTGATGCCACGCAATCGGCGAAATGAGGAATGCGCACGGAGAAAACATTGAACGTAAGACATGGCCCCTTCGGTTTTTCAGAACTGGCAGAAAAGAAAACCACGACAACCTCTCTGCATGGAACAAGGACGGTCAAACGGAAGATGTGAAAACAAGCTGCTGTGACCAACATGGCTTCCGAATGCATGTTCTCGCACTCCCCGAGGTCACGCTTGGTGTTGTGGAACAGCTCCTCAGACCCTATTCGGTGCCGCCTCTACCAATCGGATGCCCCGCTTTGGCAGTGGCCCCCGACATCACAATCGTCGTAACTGGCATCGCAGCACTGTTGCCATGTATCGTGTTCTGGATTGTAAGGGGGAAGTCTTGTTTGACTGTGTATCCCTCCCTTCCCCCTTTTTGTGGCTGCATCGAAGTCGTGTCAACCATCAAGTGCTCTCTCTCTCTCTCTTTCTCTTTCTCTCTCTCTCTCTCTCCCTCGCTATCCCTCTCGCGCTCTCTCTCTCTCTCTCTTTCTGTCTCTGATTCCCTCTATTGCTCATCTTCTACCGAACCCATTTATTATCGCTTATCCGCACACAAGTTCACAATTTGGTATATCAATGTATGTCCCTACTGCGCGGAGGCTATGGAGATGCGCTGGCATCGCTCTGCAGATGGAGGGGGGCGGGGACGAGATGGAGAGGGAGATACATATAATGCTTCGTTCCGCCTCTTCGTGCCCCCGTGGCGAACGAAAACATATGGAAGAAACTAATTTATGGAACGAATGCCACGTACATGGAATCAATCACCGTGATGCGAGCTCGTTGGGTGCCTCATAACCTGATTAGTCATGAGTGGTAGAAATCCTGTGATCCCATCAGCCCTCTGGGCGTATGCGGTTTGACGCGTTAGCGCTGCTACCACCTGACACCCTTTCTGGGAGGGCTTGCCCCTCCACCTACCCCCTCCGCTGGGTTTGAACCGAGGGCCCACCATAGCCCAAGACGGCGTCCAGCATGACTCCTGGAGCCTACAATACCGCTCCAAGAAGGCTCCAAGTGGCCATGCAACTTCTCAAAGAGGGCCTCGAAACGGCAACTCGAAGCGCTGGTGATGCGGTTTGCCTTGTCGCCCATTCGCCTCTGGTGAACTAGAAAGGCCTTCGAATGGCTTCACCGTAGCCCAACAGAACAACACTAAAAACCCGTAAGGGATCCAACACGGCCCAAGGAACATGATCCGATAGCCCCAAGATGCAATGCGTATGGCTCAGGGGGTATGTGCTAATCCTCGCCGCCTAAATTCGCTAAAAACCAACACCATTGAACAACCGAAGGTCTGGTACGGCCTTGGCATCTCGTAGGCATCATTGGGAGGCCGTTGGCCGAAGATGGCTGTAAGATGGATTCAGATATCTGAGAGAGCGTGATCCACCGCCGCTTTACTGTGGAAAATTGCCAACCTTTTCCTCCGGAACCCGGGGGTCTCCCCCCCCCCCCCCTCCGAAAATCCCCCCCCCCTGCTGGAACCCCTCCCCCCCCCCCCCCCCCCTCTCCCCCGGCAAAACCCCCCCCCTCCCCTAACCCCTCCCCCCCCCCCCCCCCTCCCCTTCGAAAACCGGGGGGGGTCACTACCGGTTCGAACCACTCCCCCCCCCCCCCCTCCGGATCCGGAAAACTGGGGGGGCCACTACCGGTTCGACCCCCCCCCCCCCCCCCCCCCCCCCTACTCACCGCCAGCAAACGACTCCCGGTCCCCACCACCGTCCGCATCACATCCCCCACTGGTGTTCCCAGCACCACTGTCCTCACCACCACTGTCCCCACTGGTTCCACCACCGTCCCTATTGTCCCCACCAGTGCCCCCACCACTGTCGCACTGTCCCCACTGTTCCCACAACTGTTCCCACCACGGTTCCACTCTCCCCACTGTCTCCACGGACCCAACCACTGCCTATCCCCACTGTCCCCACTGTCCCACTGACTCCTCCGCTGTCCCACTGAGCTGTCCCACTGTTCCCACCACTGTCCCCACTGTCCCCACCACTGTCCCCACTGCACCTCTGTCCCATTGTCTCACCGCCGTCCTCGCAACCGCCTTTACCAGTGTCCCCACCACCATTGTACCCTCCACTGTCCCAGTGTTTCCACCTCATTCCCACTGTCCCCACACCACTGTCCCCACCACCACCGTTCCCACCACTGTCCACTGTCCCCCCTGTTCCCACCATTGTCCCCACCACTGTCCCCACCACTACCGTCCCCACCACTGTCCCACTGTCCCCACTGTCCCCACCACTGTCCCGCTGTCCCCTCACCACTGTCCCCACCAACACCGTCCCCACCACTGTCCGCACCCCCACTCGGTTTTCGAGGGGGGGGGGGTTCGAACCGGTATTGACCCCCCCCCCTTTTCATGATGAACTGGGGGGGGGGGGTTCGAACCGGTAGTGACCCCCCCCGGTTTTCCGGAGGGGGGGGGGGGGGAGGGGTTCGAACCGGTAGTGACCCCCCCGGTTTTCCGCCAGCAGCGGTAGAGCACGCTCTTTCAGATATCTCAAGATGACCCCACGATTGCTCAACGTATCCTCCAACACAGCTCCAAGACGCCACAGGATCACCCCAAGACGGCTACAGGAAAAACCAAAGGAGACTCTCATCAACCATAACGCCCTGACTTTGGGCTCCCCGCCTTTTCCAGAAGATCCCCCGAGAGAGCCCAAGGAAGCGTCCAGAGCAGCCCCAATAGGCCGAAGAGCAGCCAAAAGCGTCCCAAAAACGCGCCATGAGGCGACATTTCGGGCACTGACGTGGCAAGAATAAACAAAGAGACTCCTTTCTTGCTCAACGCCCTCAAACATGGCCCCAACAGGGCACCCAGGGGGTCCTAAGAAGGCCACCAGAGGAAACAAAACACGTTCCCCGACGAACTCGTACATTCCCAGGTGAACTGATCGATTCCCTGGTGGTTGTGTTTGAAGAATCTACAGCTTCTGGATTGTTTGGGAGCTTCTGAGGAGCTGCGCAGACGCTTTCCATGAGGTTATGAAGAGATCTCGAAAAAAATGCGTCTGAGAAGGTTTCGAGGGGTTCCTGGAAATCCTGCCGGCTACTACTACTACTACCACTACTACTACTACTACTACTACTACTACTACTACTACTACTACTACTACTACTACTACTACTACTACCTCCTGCCACTGCTACTGCTACTGCTACTGCTACTGCTACTACTACTACTACTACTACTACTACTACTACACCTACCACCACCATCACGACTACTACTACTACTACTACTACTACCACTACTACTACCACTACTACTACTAATACTACGATTACTACTACTACTACTACTACTACTACTACTACTACTACTACAACGACTGCTACAACAACAACAGCAACAACAACAACTACTACTACTACTACGACTACTTCCAATAGTAGTCATAGTAGTACTACTACTACTCATACTGCTACAACTACTAGTACGACTACTACTACTACTAATACGACTAATACTACTACGACTACGAAACTACAACTACTACTACTACTACTACCACTACCACTACTACGACAACGACTACGACTACTACTACTACTACTACTACTACTACTTCCACTTCTACTACTACTAACTCCACCACTGCTACAACTACAACTCCTACTGCTACCACCACCACCACTACTACTACTACTGCTACTACTACTACTACTACTACCACTACTACTACTACTACTACTACTACTACTACTATAACTAATACTACGACTACGACTACGACTACTACTACTACTACTACTACTACTACTACTACTACTACTACTGCGACTACAACTACCACTACTACGACTACGGCTATTACGACTACTACGTCTACTACAACTACAACTACTACTACTACTACTACTACTACTACTACTACTACTACTACGACTACTACGACTACTACGACTACTACTACTACTACTACTACTACTACTACTACTCCTACTCCTACTCCTACTGCTACTACTACGGTTGCTGTTTGTGCTGCTACTCTACTACTACTACTACTACTACTACTACTACTACTACTACTACTACTACTACTACTACTACTACACCTACTACTACTACTACTGTTACTACTAATTCGACGTGTGCTGCGAGTATTCCCAGCGCAGCTAGTAACAATAATAGAAATATTACTACTACTACTACCACGACGACGGCTACTACTACAACGATTACTGCTTATATGACTACTACTACTAATACTATCCCGGAAAATATGTCCATTACGAATATTATTACTACTAGCGCTGCTACTACTGCTGCTACTAACACTACTACCACTACTACCACTAGTACTACTACTACGACTACCACTACTACCAACGAGACGACTGCTACTGCTACTACTACTACTATTGCTACTGCTACTACGACGACGACTACTACTACTACTATTTCTACTACATGTATTACTGCGACTACCACCTCTACTTCTACTACTACTACTACTACGACTACTACTACTACTACGACTACTACTACTACTACCACTACTACTACTACTACTACTACTACTACTACTACTACGACTACCACTGCAGCCACTACTACTACTATTGCTACTGCTACTACAAATACAATTACTACTACTACGACTACTACCACTTCTACTACTACTACTACTACTACTACTACTACTACTACTACTACTACTACCAACGAGACGACTGCTACTGCTACTACTACTACTACTACTACTACTACTACTATTGCTACTGCTACTACGACGACTACTACTACTCCTACTACTATTTCTACTACATGTATTACTGCGACTACCACCTCTACTACTACTACCACTACGACTACTACTACTACTACTACTACTACTACGACTACTACGACTACTACTACTACTACACTACTACTACTACTACTACTACTACTACTACTACTACTACTACTACTACTACTACGACTACTACTACTGCAGCCACTACTACTACTATTGCTACTGCTACTACAAAAACAATTACTACTACTACGACTACTACCACTTCTACTAGTACTACTACTACTACTACTACTACTACTACTACTACTACTACTACTACGATTAATACTACTACTACTACTACTACTACTACTACTACTACTACTACGACTATTACTACTACTAATACTTCTGCGACTACGGCTACTCAACTCAACTCAATAACTCTAGGAGCGATGTCCGAT